CGAAAAATAATACGAAAAATAATAATAAAAATAATATTACAGAAATAATACGCGTCTATACAAAAATGATACTTAGGCTACAAACAAATCTACAAGTGAACGATCTATTTTTATTTTAACCCAGTATCCCTTGACGACTGATCGATCGAGCTATATCTTGAACTTTCGTTCCTTTCTGGAGTTTCATTATAGTTCAAATTCAAACTTCCATTAGATATGAGACTACGTTTTATTAATTGCTGTTCCGAAGTCGATTTACAATGTTCTGACTTTTCATATTCGATTTCAGGTATTACCTATAATTACAACAGACTTATTACAAACGACAGCACCAGAGCAAAAAATCAATGCATTTTGAAAGAGAAAGCAAATGTCATATTTGACAAGCAACTTAAATTCGATATGAAATGAAATAGAGGGATTATTTATAGCAACCTACCGTGAGGTCGAAGGTTTCTTCAACTTAATAATGCTAAGAAAATGCTCTGAAGAATCAGTGAATTATGATACGATACTTACGTTTCTCCTTCCAGATGGCTTGATTCCTTTCACAATGCGAGCCCCTCGTCTAGTTCGACGTATTGTCCGAAGGTGTGTCACATTGACATTTACGTTTAGCGGCATGCTTTCCACGCATTTTTCGAGCATTTCCAGTGGGTCACGTCGTCCGAAGAAAGTTTTGAAATCAATCTGAACGAAACATACGGGTTTTAACATAAGCGAAATGGTCCTCAAACAGAAAAGATCTTTACCCTTTTAAACAAAAATATACTGTAGCAACTTTAAGGATGGACTACATGGAACAATAAAAGATATCCAGTTCAAAAGGAAACGGATTCAATTTAAAAGATTTTAAGAATCACTGCAAATTTTTACAATCAACATTAAGACGTACCAAAACATGAGAAAAATCTGTATACTAAGCGGATAACTGACTAGATAACTAACTACTAAATCTGAAAGACTTACGGACAATAATTTCCCATAAAATCAGAATAACCTCAAAAACAAACCTGCAAAAATGCGAGAAACAGGCATTCATAACTCCATTAACTTCAGATTTAATCCATATTTTAATTCTATTACTTGATGCATTTCACATTAGAAATTAGCTTATCAGTGAGCGATATATAAGTACCCTTTACACAACAAACTCACTTTCGTAGTTCGCAGTTCTTGTTTTTGTTCATAGTTTTTGTGATCTCCAATCAGTTGTTGAAATTTCTTTGCAGTGAGCAAATCTTTGCTTACATCGTTAATCGTTACCTTCAACATATAAAACATACTTTGATACTGAATACGGAATTAAAAGAAACAACGTCCACATGCAAGTATCAAAATCTCATTCACCTCAAAGCAATATTTTCTAAGTGAACAATACCAAATCGAAAAAACTATGAAAATTATTCCTGGCTTCAAAACACTCGCTAAAAAGTTATTTTAGTGGAGTAATGGCCCAAGGAAGCAAATGTTCATGATTTGAAAAGCAATGTGTAATCAGGACAGTGACTTCAGCTGACTTCTCGGAACAATGAATGTACTTTATTCAGTAACTGAATTAACTGTTGATGAGTAAGGAGATAAAAATAAACCTGGTGATCAAATAAAATTAGGCTATTAGAACTATCCAGTAGTGTACGTAGAGACTCGACACTACCATTACGCACCAACTGATTTGCTGGTGCTTTTTCGGCATCCAACTGTAAAAAAGAAGTGAGATTGCTAAGCTTTCAAAAAATTTTGTAGTCACGTAGTAACTAAGTAATTATACAGTAGCTAATGCTAAGTAATATTTGCCACACTCGAAAATACCTCCTGAAAAACAAGAATGCAGATAGAGTAAATCTTACCAACAATATTCGAGCTTCATTTATTAATTTCTTATGACTTTCGTCCAGATCTTCGAACTTTACTTCATTTTCACCGGTCTCCATCATAGTCCCCCGATTTAACGGCAAACTTCTCCGTTTCCAATCGTTCCTTTTGGTTATTAATTGCCATAATGTTATACAACATTCATTCAATTTAAGACAAAAAATAAAAGTGAAAATCCAACTACGACCAGAAAGTTATTAACAAAATCTTGGATCATGCAACAAAATCATACGCTTCAATATGCAGAGTGCTTTTGCTCCTTAATCGCAGAGGTGATGGTGCTCTAAAAGTGAAGTCATCCTCACAACCACTACTTTGCATAACTTGAATGACACGATGAATACCTAAAACTATAAAACTCTGTGAATGAGGCTTGGAAAACTACAAAAAAAAAAAAAAAAAAAAAAACTAGCAAGAACTTAACGAACCTGAACTCAACCGATGAACTGCTGCTTTTGGTTTCCCTTCAATACTTCCACTTTTTTTCAATTCACCCAGAAGTTTGTGCAAAGCATCGAGCATATTCTATAAAATATGAGCAGAAGGTTAGAAGATTAATTTCTATTATCAGGGCAAAACCACATCGGTAAATAAATCCGGTACTTTTTAAAATACATGTATTCCGGAACTTACATGTGTCATGCGTGATTTAAAGCAATGAGGTGCTATTTTGTTTAGGATATCTTCCAACTGCTCGCAATTCCATATATTTAGTGAGTTGTAATTCTTGTTCATGATATAATCTACGTAAATTAATTGTGCAGCCTATAAAGTATCACGAAATCCTATATTACCTTCACGCGTGCTAATTATGCTTTTTCGGAATTATCAGCGTAATTAAACTGTATCTAAATATATTTCATATAATATAACATCAATGTAATTATATATAATTATATACCATGTTATGTTTTCACCATGAAAATGATACCTTTGATTATGAAACAAAATCATGCACTTCAATATGCAGAGTGGTGACAAGAGCAAATCGGTCACATTACAAATCAAAAAAAAACACCACGGAATAATGAACCTGCGAATAACACTGCCTCCAATGAAGTTTTTCTATAGCCTTCTCAACCGTAAACAATGTCAATTTCCGTAAACCACCTGTTTTCGATAAAAGAAAGATATCAGCATCGTTTACTGCATATTCACTCACCGAATCTAAAATTTTTTTTTCGATCCTCTATCCTTTTTATAAGACTTCACTTCGTTTTAGTGCCTTTGAGCTAAGCAGAACAATTAAGTAAACTGAAGGATGTACCTACACAATCCACCATGCTCATAAGCACCATATGACTGTCCATGGGATCGATTAAACAAAACGTTGTATCCGTCTTTGTCATCAAAAATAAAGTACTGAAAAACTGCTTTTAGGTAATCCTGACTTATACTTTGAAAAAATAAGCACTTGGAAATATGATACTAACGTGTGCATTATTGCTCTGATAAAAAAATCAATGAATTTCAAAACTCTTAACATCACACGTCACATCAGCTAGTATACAAACAACATTACCTTTCAACAATATTCTTAGAACTTTGCATTTCCAAACAACACTATGCAAAATGGAATTGAGAACTAAAGTTTACTTTTGACATTTGATCAGTGTCAAAAGCCCAAAATTGATACTCCGAACTTCATTAACATTAGCCATGCTGTCAAACAAGTCATCTTCCTTGAAGGAGACCACAGGAAATCGACAAACAGTTCTCAAATTTCGGTACTGATGGGTGCTACAATAGGAAAGATTTTGATAACAGTAGAACCGGTTTTTCGAACTGAACTTAACTTGTCCAGTATAAAAATAGGTGTATCAGTCACATAACAAAAGTTGAATAAGTTTGATCGCTTTTCTAAAATTCAGACAATTTCAAAGGTTTACTGAATTTTAGATGAAATAGAAACCTGTAAACTACACCGCGAGCGTTAGCCTCCCATAATCGACCGTTTGGACGACTTGCGAAAATTACCGTCAACTCGTTACATCCTGTATTCATCGGTGTCGTGCAATTATTCCCTTCTGTATATCGCGATTTCTGTTTTTGTTGGTCGGAAAAGAATACAGCGCCAAAATGACCTTTTCTTAATCTTTTTCCCACCTTAACTACGCAAGAAGTAAATGCTGATAAAATACAACCTCCAAGGTTGTTACTGTGAAAATGTTATTTGCATAGGAACAATATACGATCATAAATTAGGAAGGACAAATCAATAATCATTGAAAAACCTCCAGAAGAGAATGGCTCTACAAAGTAAAGAAAACAATATACAAATAACACAATCCACGCCATTCATCCAGCTTACATTGCTAAAGGCCTAAAACTAATACAACAATCAGCAGCGCACTGCATACTTCTACAAATATGTATAAAATTCATGGACAAAAATTTGCGACAAAAAACAACAAAGTCCTTGAACTGACCTGAATACAACTGTAAGTCTTCAAATCACAAACACAGCAACGCGTTAGGGTAGAGGCAAGCAGGCAATCATCACGTATATCAAACTGAACAATTTCACTGTCTGTTTCAAATATAATATCAGTTGGTGAGCGAAAAAAGTTGCGGTTCTGAAACAATTTAACTTGGATTCATCCTTTACATTCTGTAATTATGAAATATGAAATCTAATAATCAAGGGAACTACTCGTAGACTTTCCATAAATATGCACCTTACAAGAATCTCACTTTAAAAAAGTGTACTGGAAACAAAAACATGACAAGTCATACATGAATTAGAGTTTGACTAATGCGTCCTTTTGTGTCTCCAGCATATACTTTAGAACTATCGCTGCACCAACGAAGTTCTGTGATACGGATCGGTTGGCCACACTCATCTGTAAAATTTCTTTAAATTTATAGAAAATTTTGGTTTAAACAAAAGAAACATAGACGAAATTAGTGGTGTGGAGTAATGACACAGTCACACACTGACACTTATCTTGCAGCAAAGATTTGTTTGCTTCAAACATTTTTTAGAACAAAATTAAGGATTCTGAAACAATCTTAAGCCATCTATAAGTAGAACTTTCCATATTATGAAAGTCTATAAAACCTAATTTAAAAGAAAATTCAGTTCTTTATAAAACTCCTTTGTTCGAAAATACTACTCTTCTTTCTGATAGTACGCTTCTTCAAATGATGAAATTGCAAATGAAAGACAAAAACCTGCCTGTGCCAACATGACTGTCGTTAGAAAAAAGCGTAGTAGGATTTCGGCCAATACCGACAAGAACAGTAATTGTCAGGGAACCTCGTTTGCTTGACGTTGCCAAGTATTTCTCATCAGGTGATATAGATAACTACAAGCAAAGTTTCGATATACCAAGAGTTTTGAAGTCGATACAAATTGCATTAACAAAATTGTAGAGACTTAACGTATGTGAATTGACGAAAACTTCAGACTTTACCTTGGCATAAAGTTAGGACCAAATGGAGATCAGAGGATTCGTGAAAAAGTGAGATAGAAAGAAGAGAAACTATGTCAATATAGTAACCTTATTAATAGGTCCATCCTTGATGGAAATAACTTGTATTGGAACAGAACTGATGCGATTCCGACACTTCGAAGCAAACCTTGAAAACAGATACACTGTTCCACTTGTCGACCCAACAGCTAAGTAATGAGCAGATGCATCCAAACAAGTAAACTGAAAATGAAAACCTAATTCATTCGGGGTTCAAATTCCGATTACATTTTACCACTTGAAACTATCAAGAACAAGGTATCTCAGCTAAAACTAATATTAGCAGAAGAAAGGTAGGTGTGCTTAGTAAGCTGAAGTTAGGAGGTAATAAGAAGCCCAAAGCTACGAGTCTTAATTCGTAAATAAATATTCTCTTGTTTGACACCTCGACTAATTTCTGGGTGTAATGATCATTTTAGTGTGCCCTTTCTATATTTTCTAGTATATATTTCACAATGAACTGAAATATAAAATGAAGCTTGGGAAATGAGATTTGATCATTCTGCATCTAACAAAAAAGAATACCGAAGTCAATACATTATCTGACTCCATCAGATATTTCGTATATTTCGTACCAAAAAATTTGTGAATACCAAACCTTAATTCGAGTAGATGAACTAGTTGGAAAGCTTAATTCCTCCAGAGATGTTAACTCAACGAAAAGATGAGTGAGTGGTAAACTGTTCCGCTCGCCTTCCTTCCACTCCTCTGCTGTCGTCGTACTCACACTATTACTGCATTCAGAGATGAAGGAATCCATGTTTCGATTCGCGTCGGAATTTCAATTAATAAACAGAACTGATTCCATATCACGGAACTGACCAGGTCTCTTC